GTATCGTAAAACCACTTTACTATTGTTTGCCTAGAGCCCTTCTGCATTCTACGATGCCAGTCACTGTGGATAGTAGTTTTAATATCCTTGGCTATCATATTCTTTACTGCAATGTCTGACACATATTTTCCTTTAAACAGGGGCACAATCCCACTAGCACCTGGATTAGCCTTAGCTATATCCGGGGGACACGTGTTTTCTATATTAAACACAATTCAAGAAATAATTAGAAATAGAGAAAGTAAAATGAAATCAGGGAGTCTTTTTTCTGTCTTCGGAGCACGGAGCAGTTTCAGCGGGTGGGCAGGCGCGCTAACACAGACACAGAGCCAATGACAACAAACACATGGGAGAGAAAGGGAAGAAGACTACACAACATACTAAGTGTATCTGAATATGTCATAGGTCCGATACATTCAAAATGTGTGAGCAATCTGAATCCTGCTATAGTGGTTCTCGCCTTGCATTATTCTCCTTGTTCAGTTGCTAGTGATCCTGCGGCTGAGCCTGACAGGAAAATTTTACTGGAAATGTATGGGGCGGTTTTATGCGCCCGATACATTACAGTGCTGAACTCATGGGGTGGAAGGAAGACGCTTCCCATTCTGAAAGCCCAACTGCCAGCTTACAATATTTTTGAAATTCATTATATATACGCCACTTTTCTAAATGGAACTTGTGACTGCCCTCTACCCGAAAGAAAATTGCTCTAGAAAGAAGACCCCCCTCCGATGCGTTTTCTTTTCTTTTTTTTATGCATGGCCAATGAGAGGGCACTCCATTTTCATTCCAGAATCCGAAAAAGGGGATACGAACCGAACAATTGATGAAAAAAACAGTGTCGTTAGATCTGCGTGGAATGGACGGCCCTAACGGGTCTGACTACTACGTTGTTTTGATTTAATTCACAAAACACATGTTGCACGGATATAGCTAAGGCTTATCTCATTGCTAGTGGGACCGTGCCTTAGCTGTTTGTTTCTGTCATCCCATATGACTTTCATAATGATTGCCCAAATGACTTGTGCCACATAAACCCAGTTGCTTTCTTGCTGATCACCCAAATGACTTGTGCCACATAAACCCAGTTGCTTTCTTGCTGATCAGTCACGTTGTAGATTCCTGTAATTATCCATTCGTCGGTCCATTTGAACTCTTTCTTGGTGGTTTGGTCCCAATGGAGTATCCACCAGTTCCATATTCTTCTGAAAGCAGGGCATGTAAGCCAGAGATGGCGAGTATTTTCACACATCCATTTACAACATACGCATCCAGCAGATATCTTCGTTCCTTTATTGACCAAGCCTACTGTTGTTGCTGTAGCCAGTAACAATTGAAGCCAAAGCATACTGGATAGCTTCTGCGATGGTAACATTTTAATCTATTTACACAGAGTTAAGGTATGATCTGTCGATAAAGACAGCAAGTCATGCTGTGACACCCAAACCTCACGCTCGGCGCGACGTCCTGATCGGAGTGGGATGTGGGCCTGGAAGTGCGAAAAGGGGTGTGCCAAGGATTTTTGGGAAATTCGGGGTGGAGTCCCATGTCAGAACTGAGATCTCCTGTGGCAAGGTTCCAGGGGCGTAGGTGCAATGAAGCTAAGGGACGGGTTACTTTCGGTCTGATGGTGGTCGAGGTCATGCAGCATAAGGCAGATGGCATGCGCGGTGCATCTTGGGCCGTCCGATCCGCTCGTTCTAGCGATGGCGGTTCGGGAGAGGTCCGCTCGTGAGGGTTGCGATTTCTATGAGTCGGACCTAAGGTGTGGACACGTGGCGATTGACGTCGTGTGTTATGGTTAGGCTCCGTAATTCCAGAGGCTTGATGGTTGCCGCGCCTTCTGCAATTTCTGCACGGCGTGTGGGGCCAATACGGGGCTATGAAATTCCATGGTACCACCGTGAGTTGGTGGTATGGGAGGAGGAGATGGAAGGGAGGGAAATTGGTAGCGATAACTACGAAGCCGGGGGATATGAAATATTGCGTGTTATAAGTAGTCGGGTAGTCGGGGTCCCTCGGGTCGTTGGTTATGGCGAGGTGAAAGTCCCTGGCACACAGTTGGTCGTTCTCGGTTAGACAGGGGAATTCCAGATTTCTCAAATTCCCCCGTAGCCTAAGTTGTTCTCCCTCCCAGTATTCTCGGTACTGTGGGTCCCGCAATCTCTCCCGGTCCACGATGTACGACATCTTGTCATTCCGACAGATTGCTAGCTGCAGCGTAGTGGGAACCCTCCACACGCATTTGATCGTGCTTTGATTGACAAGGGAATTCCCGGGTATGGTGGCGGAAATTCCCACCAGTTCAAATTCCCGCAAGAGGAAAATTCCGCACTTATCCCGATACCGAAGGTGCCAAGTCCTATCGTGAATCGACCGCGTGTGGACACGTGTAGGATGCGTTTATTAGATCGCACTTACACATGTGCGCACGAGGTGTTCAATCACGCACATGTCCATCGCCCGATTTTCATGCAAAAAGGGTTGTCCTATATGCAAAAATCGCCATGGGGCGGAGACGATCACCCAACAATCCAATCATTCAGTAATCCCATGGTCAACAAATATTCCCGATTATGCAAGGTGACATCACATCATACATTTGACATCGCAACAACATTAACTCCTGTCATTAGCCATTTATCACAAGCTGGGACGAGCAAAAAAGGAAACAACGAGCACATCATTCAATCATCCCTTATGTAGAACCCATCCATCCGTCATACAAAAAAGAGAAGATTGAAATCGAGAAACAGCGCCAATCAAAGGCGATAAACAAGGAGAGATACAATCCCACGTCCATCCATCTCAACTCTCTCTCTCTCTCTCTCTCTCTCTCTCTCTCTCTCTCTCTCTCTCTCTCTCTCTCTCCGATGCGGACAGTCTGTCGTCACGCACCAACCCACGAAGTTGGCACTCCGCTTAGTCCTCCTGTGCTCGTCGGGTTCGCCCGCTTGCTACAGCCCGTCGTACCCCGCACATTCGGCACCAGCTCCTCGGGTCGCTCAACTCCCACTTCAACTCACCTCTTACTTCGCTCGTGAGCGACCCTCATTGATCGCGCTACCCCGAGCTTCCAACAACTGTTTAAGAGAGTTATCTAATCGCGCAACCGAAATGCATGCATGCATGGGCGAAGAACACGAAATTGCAAGGACTTAGAAAGAGAGAAGGGGAAGGAGTGCCTCGTTATGCATGGCCAGATCGTGGCGTGGGGGACGTAGCCACTCTCCATGCATCGATCCGATCATGCAGCCCGCGGGTCAACTAGACGCAACAAAGAAGAGAGAGGGCGGGAAAGACGAAGCTCAAGAAGAAAGATACAGTTACAAGGGCCCCCTGCTCAAAATTACAGTTACACGCAAGATTAAGGGCGTCGACTAATCAGAGCTCCGCTGCAACCACAAAAAGAAACGCGCGAGCAAAAAACACCGTGCAACAAAACAAATTCCGAATTCCTAAATTCCTATTTAATGCAAAAATGCAAAAATGCAAAAAAAGCTTTAATAAAGCACAAATCCCGAAATTCCGAGAGCCATCGAGGGCTCGACAAGATTCGAAAAAGAAATTCAAAAAGAAAGAAGCAAAACTCCCTCGCGATCATCGCGCCAAAAACCCGATAGCAGAACAAAAAGGAAGCGACATCAACCATTATTAATCGCGTCTGTGTCGGTGCGCCAACCACTAAATCGACCATCCTGGGACTTGCCCAGCCCTGACCCCAACCATCCGAAAGAAGTGACGTAAAAAGAAGAACAAACAAGGACACCGATGCAATTTTCCCGTTGGATCCCATCTCCCATAATTGGCCCAACCTTCCCAACTTAGGAACCCTCATTGTCATCGCGCAAAAAATCGTGCGGAACAGGAATTGGTTCGTCACATATGTGACGCCCAGGGGGTTCCAATCTTAAGCAAGCTCCTGCTTGCTTAGTCATCACGACACGTGTCGATCTCTCTTCATTGCCACTTACCGCACGATAACAGTGTGGAAGTCATTCATGGTGGCATACATAGGCTCTATCCTACATGTTCCTCAGGAAGGGCTCTCTTCTTTCGAAGGAGGACAACATAAAAATTCTCACGAGAAATGAAAGTTGAAAAACATTCCATAAAAAAAAAAATCCTTCATATTTATAAATTATCATTCCAATGTTCGTCCAATTCTAAAATTTCCAGTTTTATTTGACAAGTTTCCGTCTAAATATGAGTTTTCCCTTCCAACTACAGCTATTGGTTCAAGATGGAATGAAAGTCTGGACGAGTTTTTGAAATGTTTTAATTAAATTTTCATTCTACTCCAACAAATATCTTCTAATTTAGATTGGATTAACCTATTTATGACTGAAAATCCTTACTTAAAATAAAAGTCCAATTAAAATATTTCATGAACTCATCCAGACTTTCATTCCATCTATGCAGTCCAAATTAGAAGGGATACCCTATTCTTGGAATAAAAGTTTGCAAATAAGATGAAAAATTTTAAAATTGGAACGACATTTTTTAAGATGGAATGAAAATTTAAAATTTAGATTGTAATTTATGATTATTTAATTCTGGAATTTTTTTTCGTTGGAGATCTTTCGTGCCATCGCCGTGACACGTGCCATGCAACCGCGCATCAGTGACCAGCGGGAAGAGGAAAGGGGAGGTGGTACATGGGGGCATGGAGAGAGGGAGGGTTGGTTGGGAGTGGGGGTAGGAAGCGCTCCATCCCTGCTACTGTTACCGAAAGCTCCTGGTAGCGGATGATTCGATGGAAGCGAGGAAAACGGGTGCCATTGTGGGGGAGAGATGCGAGATAGTCGGGGTAGAGGGTTACAAAGGTGCGGAAGAGGGCCGTCCGGAACCGATCATGGTTTTCGCACGCGGGGATAGTCCTCGTGATCGTGCAATAAACCTCGATTATATTGTGGCCCCACGCGGCATTAAAGAGAAGGACGTGGAGGCAAAAGATAGGGGTGGCGCACCGAGTAAAGGGGTGGGGGTGTGATGGACAGCGAGGCGGTTAGCGTAGAAGTGACGGAAGGTGTCGGTGGGAAAGGGGTTGTGGGGAAAGGAGATCAAGGCGGTGATCTGCCGAAGGGTGAGGTAATCAAGGGGATGACGTGATAACGACCGGGGACGAAGCCCGATGCCCTGCATCGGTACGTGTGCGAACTGGGGGACGGGTGGAGGGGGAGGGGGATCGACTCCGTCGCCTCCTTGCTTGCGCACTCGAAGTCTCGGCAGAAGGGTCCCCATTGCCGTCCTTGGGTGGCTCGGGATCCCTGGTCGGATCGTCTGGGATCGGTAGATCCGCGCCGCTCGCGTACTCCAGCGGCTGCTTCCCGACCGTGATTTCTTCTCTCGGCCACGCTACCACCTCGGGATCTTCTTCCTGGACCTCTGCGCGGCCCGCCTCCTCACCCAGACTTTCCCACTCAAATCCTTCCTCTTCCTCCTCCTGATTTTCTTCTTCCTCTTCTTCTTCTCCGCTCGGCTTCTCTTCACTGTGCTCAAAGTAACTCCTTTCCTCTGAGGTTTCGTCCTCCTCGTCCTCCTCTTCTTCTTCCTCCACCGTTATCGCCTCGCCTTCAGACAGCGCCCGGGGCTGGAAGAAAAGGATGTCGATGATCCCCCGGGGATTCTGGTACTCCGATCGCAACGGGTAGTTGCCACCTCCTCCTCTCTCCTCCAAACAGGCCGACCACTGCAGATACTGCGTCAACCTCCGCGGAAGGACGTGCGGCACCGGGCTTTCGTCGCACTGCGATATGATGTCGAGGGGGAGATCGTCGATTAGCTGCACGAAGGGGACCGAGAGCTCCCACACAATCAGTTGTCGATGGCCGGGTCCCATTGCCCCGAAAACGAACCCGAGGAGATCCCCTTCCACCTCCGTTCTCTAGGCCTGGATGATTAGCAGCTCCACACTCTCCCTCGCGGTGCAATGCTCACTGTCCCGCGTCCACGTCAGCTCCATTTCCACCAGACACAACGAAAGAGCGAAGTACTGCTCGCACCACATCTCCCAATGCCTCGGCTCGATGAGAGGAACGGCGAGTGGCTGGATACAGAGAGAAAGACGGGGATGGAGAGCAGACTGCCAGAAAATGGGGAAGAGAGAGGGGAGGGCAAAGGTTGAGAACTGGGACCGGTTCATTGAGGACGCAGAAAAGGGACGAGCTCTGGGAGCGCTACCGCCGGCTCGTGTCGGGATGTGCGGAGCCCGTCGACGTCGACGTTGTTGGTGACGACGAGGTTGTCGCCGTGCCACGCAAGCCATCGGCTCCACACCTGCGCTAACTGTTCGCCCCACTCCCTTAGCAAGGCCCGGATCGCCGTATGCCTTGTAGGATCCACCGTGCTGATGTCCCCACTGAAGACGACGATGGTAGATATGTGGCTGATCCCTGGCGCTGAAAGCCGTCGATAAGCCGATGCCTCGGCCAACACGAGTGTCTGGCTATGGGCCGCAAAACGAAACTCTGCCGCCTCATACACCCCAGTGGTGCTGAAGAACTGCGCAAATCGGAGAAGATCCAAACTGATCCGTGGATGATGGACTTGGATGATCGCCGAAATATCACCACGTGGCGCCAGCATGTGCTCGCCAAGAACCTGCTCGGTGGAAAAACTCAATGCGATGGCGACGGGGATGGAATGTCTGCAGGGGAGCGAGACAAAGAAGAAGAGGGTGATAAGCAGACGCCGTCCTCTTCCGTACTGGAGGAGGGGCGGACGAAGGTGGAGATGGAGAGGAAGGGAGAGGTCGCAAATAGGACACATGGCGAGTGATCGGGCGAGCAGATTGGCCGTCGGAGACCTCAGGCACGAGCCGCACCGTGTTCACTCCGTTCGGGCCGAGCTCAACTATGTGAAATCGCCCGAAGAATCGTGGTGCTAGCTTACCCTAGCGAGCACATTCCCTTACCTGCACGATGTCCCCTAATTTATATTGAGGCCGTGGTCCTGCGTTCCCATTTCGGGCCTCGTAGCTATGGACCTATCCGCCTTGGGCTAACTCAGTCATCCGTTGGCGTTTTCGGGCTAATCGGGGAAGGGACCGCTCCATCAGCTCTAGGTGCCGCTTGACCTTGTACCGAACCGTGGCCCTCGTGGGCCGTCGGTTCAACGAAGATTCGTCCGGAAGGCTCGGTATCGAAACGCAAGCCACACTATTGGTTCGTAATTAAAAGGGGCTCAGGCCCGTCGATTCATGGGGCGTTCCTCGATGGACCGCCAGGATGTGATCCACGATATCGGGCCAGGGTCTCGGATCTCGTGCCGCGATGTTTCGTCGCAGTGCAGTCTTAATCACCCTATTTGCGTTCTCTGCCAGCCCGTTAGACTGTGTCATGTGGGGTGCAGTATTCCGAATGGCGACACCGTGTATGACTAGGTTCCTCAAAACTTCCCCTCTTAATTCCGCCCCATTATTGGTCAGGATCTCCTCTGTGACCTGATGCATTCCGAGAAAACGGTTGACGTATCGTGCGATTTCAACCGCCTGTCGCGTACGACATGGATCTGCCTCGATCCATTTCGAGAGATGGCCTACAAATACCAGTAGGATTGAATACTCACAGCCATTAGGTCCAGGGGGTACCACAATATCGGTAGTATCCATATTAACCCTCTGAAAGGGCCTTTCAACCATCGTCGGCACTGTCGATCTCGGCGGCTGAATCGGCGCCTTGTCAACAGTGCAGACCTGACAATTTTGGACGATGGATTTAACATCATCACGAATATTGGACCAATACCACTCATTTTTATCGATTGCCGCCTCAGTAATTTGGACGGCAAAATGGGCTGCAGTTTCCTCATGCGCCGTTTTAACCCAGTCATACCTCATGAACGGGTGTGGCACTACCATCCAAATCCCACTACCATCCGTTTCCATTTTTCTAACCGACCCTCGTTCCAGCGATAGTCCCGAGCCCTTTCATTGGCCCTCCTCCGGTCCTCCTTAGTGAAGTCCTGGAGGGGGTTACCTACCAAGGTGGCAATTAAAGCAATATCCGTCCATACCTCGACCCTTCTAAATTTTCGGATCTTTTCTAACCCTTCTGAAGTGGCATCGAGAAATCGAGCCTCGGTAGGGATCTTATCGACCCGACACAAGGGGCACAACCAAGGCGTGTTGCCATTTCGATACTGAATGCAAGAGCCATGGGCTCTCGCGACACACCGCCGACAGTGTACCCATTCGACATAACCTTCCCCACTAAGATGCATAGGGACAGAGTAAACGCGTGAAATTGCTTCGCAAAAATAACAAAATTTATCTAGTAAACTAGCATTTCGTTAAAATTAACATTTTTTACTATTTTCACGAAATTTGGCATCCAAGAAAAAACTGAGTTTTTTAGTGTGTTTTTGTGCCCACGACATCGGACCATTGATGGTCCGACATCCTGATGGTCCGGCGTCGTAGGGACGCCGAACCATCAATGGTCTGATGTGGTTGGCGCAAGAAAATGCTTAAAAATTTTGTATTTTTTTGTAATATCAATTTCGTGAAAATAGTAAAAAATGTCAATTTTAATAAAATGCCTGTTGGTAGAGAAAGAAGGGATGAGGACGAGAGGGGAGAGAGAGGAGTTGCAAGATTACCTCCGTCACCTATTGCCACGTGCCTGCTTCTTGCCACGTGGGAGAACTGGCACTTGTCCGTACTTGGGTTCGTTCGTTGATTCCGGTTCCTTCCACGGGATGATTTCTTCGCCTTTAGGTACCTTAGCTGGTCGATGCAGACGTGTCAACCCGTCCGCGGTTCCGTGCCTCTCCGTCTTCCGATGGACGATATCGAAGTCTCTCTTGCAGGCGCACTGCCCAACGCCCAATCATGTCTATGTAGTTAGTGAGTCTCCTTAGAGCCAGCAGCGGCCCGTGATCAGTCACCAGAAAAAACTTTTGTCCATAAAGATACGGATGAAAGTGCTGGATTCCACAGACCACCGCATAGCATTCACCCTGCGGGGCCGAATCGTTCTTTCGTTCGTCTAGCACCGTTCGAGATGCGTACTCGATGACGTGTTCACGACCGTCGTTCCCCTTCTGTGCTAGGATAGTGGAAATCACCTCCGGTTGCCAGTCCGTAATGAGAATGAACTGCTTCGTAGGGTCCGGCCGGATCAAAATAGGTGTTGTAGCCAGGGCGTTCTTGAGGGTGGCGAAGGCCTGTTTGCACTCGGCGTCCCAACTGAGAGGACGGTCTTTTCGTAACAAGTTCGTTAGGGGCCGCGCAATCGCGACGAACCCTTTGATGAATCGACGATAGTATGACGCAAGTCCCAGAAAAACTCGAACGTGCGTCAATGACGTAGGAACAAGGGCGTTTTTCACCGCCGCGACCTTCCTCGAATCCGGCTGCAGTCCTCCCCGTGTCAACACGTAGCCCAGGAACGAGATCTCCGAGAGGAAAAATTCGCTCTTCTCTAATGCGACCTTGAACCCAACGTCTCTCAGAGCTCCCAACGTCCACTCAATGTGATGTGCGTGTTCGTGGTAGGTCTATGAGTAGACCAAATGTCGTCCATGTACACGATGACGCAAAAGTTGATCATCCCCTGAGTTAGCCGCGTCTTGTTAACGAAGTTTTGAAAGGTCACGTTCATAGCCCGTTGAAACGTAGCATGAGCATTACAAATCCCCATCGGACACCAGACCCATTGCCACGTGCCTTCAAATAGCACGAAGGCCGTTTTCGGCCGATCCTCCTCCTTGACCAGGATATGAAAGTCGTGACGAATATCAAATTTACTAAAACAATTAGCACACCCAATCGCATCCAACAAATCATCAATCCGGAGAAGGGGTTACACATCTTTGATCGTGATATCATTCAGTTTGCGATAATCGATGCAGGTGCGAATCGACCCATTCTTCTTCGGTACTAACACTACCGGGAATGACCATGGCCTAGTAGCGGGCTTGATCCATCCGTTAGCTTCGAACTCTCGAATCCGCTGGAGGGTTGTCTTCCGTTCCATCAGGGAATACCTGTAGGGTTTACAGTGGATGGGGGGATAGTTTCCGGTTTGAATTTCGTGTTGTATGACTAACGATAGCCCAATACCTGTATCAGTTATGCTAATCGTTCCCTGATATTCTTTTAGAATGTTCGCGATTAGGTGATGGATCTTATTAGGTACGTAGTAGGGCACGTGCAACTCATACAATTGATTCCATATCCGTACATCGACCTGTTTCGTACTTACCCGCTTAGTGGTTTCAGGCGGGGGTGTGGAAATAAACGAGTTATCCGATCGCCAAGAGAATACCGTGGCCATCATTTGCGCGTTCTGCTCTCGAATGGCCACGTGTTCCTCCCGGGTTACTCCGTCGCGCATGTCCTGCCATGGCACGGTTTTCGTTGCCATTTTGATCCCGAGTCCGTTAGATCCAGTTTCGAGGCGCTCAGGGGGTTCCAAAGAACTGGCTTCCGCTCCTAAGCATACCAATCGTATTTCTTTTGCAGGTGGCAAAAGAGATCGGGGGAGGCTCGTAATGTCGCAGAAGTGTCTTTTGTCATTGTAGCGTGCAAGGAGAGGAGAGATACCTTCGTACTGGGTTTGAGGGGGTTCCAAAAAATCGACCATTCGTGAGATCTGTATGAGAGGTTCTCCCAAAATCATCACCTGCGTTCTCTACAAGTTCCGACCAGTCAGGCTCAAAGGTTTCACGTTGGCTCTTTGCGCAGGGTAACGGATGCGCTGCCGCGCCAATTCCAAGATTATTGCATCATCCTTGTCACTGCTGTCCGCATCCTTCGATGATTGCTCATCATTCGCGGAATTTTCCCAGGTGATCACACAGAGACTTCCAACCATTATCTGAGAAACCCGCGGAGCTATGTTAGCGGTAGTTCGAAGGGTTAGCCTCATAGGTATGCCGTAGGGTTTTCTTCCCGTATTCTAGAGGATGA